ACTAAAAGTCATCAATTCACTTTTTCTATCAATTTCTAAATTTAGTGCATCTGTAGGACAATTACTTGAAAGTTTGATAGTAATCTAATTTTTATTATAATTCACTCAGTCAGAAAAATATTGAAAAATAATCATCTCTTCTTATTTTGTGTTATAAACTTTATTGCAGAGTTCATAAATTTAGATGTTATTACATACTTATAAATATATAAGAGATGTTATATTCCATATTTTTTTTTGCATTATCGAATAACAAATATATTCGTACAATATGAAATTGCATACAATTGATGAATTAAGACATTACTAAAGAATTTTTAAAATCTCATATGTTATATTTCAAACTATCTAAATATGATTTTTTTATATTACCTATAATATACCCCTTCGATCCTCTAACTTTGATAAATAATAAATAAAATTTTAATCAAATAAGATAATTAGTACCTTCAAAATTACGGAACTGATTTGCAATAAGGAATTGTTCGAATAAGAAACCATCATTGTTTTTGTTTCTCCCATTTTAGAGTACTGAAGGCAAAAAGAAATATCTAATAATAAAAAATAAATCTCTTAATCGTACCAAAAAATATATAAAAAATACTGAAATAAGATCTGTGCATGTCCAGCTCGGCTCAGCTCAAAAACGGTTTGAGTAAAAAAAAAGGGCTCGGCTCCGACTGAAAAACGGCTCGGCTTGGTGCAGCGGCTCGGCTCGAGCTGAAATCGACTTCGTGTGTGGCTGAATAAGGAACGGGATCATGCGGCCAGTGGCTCTGTGCGATCGGAGTGAGGCAGATCGAGGTGGATTGCGCAGTTTTTCGCACGACTCTGCGCGCAGCGGAAGGAGCTGGATCGATCGTCCTTTCACGTGTTTCTGCGCGCGGTTAAAGAAGAAGCTTGGTCGATCGTCTCTGCGCGTGGCTGAAGAAGAAACCCGAGGTTGGTCGCGCGTTTCTGCACGCGACTGAAGAGGAAGGATTCCTTGGTGGTCGCGCGTCTCTGCACACGGAGAAAGAAGAAGCTAGAGGTTGTCGCGCTGTCTCTGAGCACGGAGGAAGAAGCTAGAGGTGGTCGCGCGTCTATGCACGCAGCTGACAAATAACGATTCCTTGGTGGTTGCGCGTCTCTGCGCGCAGAGGAAGAAATTAGAGGTGGTCGTGCATCTCCGCGCGCGATTGACAAAGAAGGATTCCTTGGTGGTCGCGCGGCTCTACGTGCGGCTGAAGACAAAGAAAACCTTTGGTACTCTGATTTCTCTCTTCCTCCTATCTGACCTCCCTTTCAACTCAGCTTGTTTTTGGTATTTTAAAATTTGATTGGATGATTATTTGCATGACGGTCCATTAATATTTTGTATGATATGGTATATGTAAAGTTCATTAATGTTTAAATTTAATTATCTTTGTATGATGGTCTAATGTTAGCTTTTTTTTTTTAAATTGACAGTATCGTTATTTAAATAATTATTTATTTTGTTTTTATTTTATTATATATAATAATAAATAAAAAATTAAAAAAAAAGGTTTAAAATAAATATAATATTAAATATAAAAATATAAAAATATATATAATTAAAAAAGAATAAAAAATATCGAGTAGAATGATTTAAAATAAAATGTAATTTTATCAATAATAAAAAATATTAAGGGTATAAAGAAAAAAAAATTATCAAATCATCTTAAAACTACCGAATCGGTGATTTGAAAAAATAAAAAAAAAATTATAATTGTGAGAACTATGACTCAACCAGTAAAAAATCATATTATGTGTTTCGAAATAAAAACAAACAGAAAAAAAATCATGAAAAAACCATAACATCATTATTGAACTATTATCTAAACAGGCTCTTAAGGTTTTAAGAAAAATCCTGAAATCAAAACCCTAAAATTTTATTTGGTTCTTGAATAAAAAAATAATAATTTTATTTCTCACTTTTTAAAATATTATATTTAATGTATTTATAAAATTTCTGAATTATTAATAAAAAAATTACCTATTTTAATAGAATTTTTATTATAGTAAAATATTTATTTTAGTAAATAATAATAAAATATCTTATTTAATAGTTTGTAGTTAGATATGAGAAATAATGGAAGGAAAGCAATGAATGATTAATACCTTGCACTATAGTGGAATAAGAAAGAGATAATGATTTCCTTGCATTCACCACCATTACCTACAAACACATGAGACAAACAATAAGCAGTCTCATCTCGCTAGAGCTTTTGTGTAACCTTTTTCTTTATCGATGATTATAAAGCAATAACTTCACTTAGACTATAGCGTGGTATACTATATACTTATCCAAAACAAGTAAAGATAATTTTATGAAGTTCTCATTGATTTTGGATCTCTTCCTTTAAAGAAAGCAATATGCAAGTCAATGTCTAAGTCAATACAGGACAAAAGTGATAATAATAAGATGCCATTCTTTTCCTTCGTTTGATTGGAGTAAGAGTCATTCTAAAACAAAGATTTTCTCTCTCACACACAAATCCAATCTAAATTGATCTTAAGTTGAGGGACATGACTAAAAGATAGAATTTATTCTTATGATTTACAGATATTGTATTGGATCAATATCAGCCAATCTAACCTATTCCATATTCTAACTCTACCCTGCCTTAGTTTATAGCCAATTACAACTTGATGGGAGAGATCTCACTAGAGGTTGGTCACCTATTAAAAGCTTCCTATATGCATCTTGTTATTCCCGCAACGAGATGAGATTGAATATCCAATTAAGGCACATCATGATCGTGTAATTTTAAGGTACCCTTTCAAGGTTTAGTTCCCCTTGCCCACAGTTTGTAATAGATAGTTAATGAAATGAAAAATAAAAAATAATAGACACTAAAAATAGAATATGAGTGGTAGACTATTACCTTAAACTATCAATAAAATGTTCCCTATTCTAACAAACTCATTTCCTACGGAGATTGGCAACTTAAAGAATCTTATTAAGTTAGACATTGTTTGAAACAAATTTTCCACAGAAACTCCTAATACGATTGGAGGTTGTACCAGCTTAAAAATACTTCGTACAGACGAAAGTTTTTCCCATAGAAGCATCCTTCTTCTCTGAGTTCATTGAGAAGCCTTAAATCGCTAAATCTGTCCTGCAACAATTTGTCTGACAAAATCTCTACTTATCTCAAGAATTTAAGCTTCTTGATGTATTAAAATCTGTCTTCCAATCACTTTGAGGGAGAGGTATCAAAAGGAGGAGTTGTCACCAATACAAAAGCAATCTCAGTTGCTTGAGACAACAAGGTTTGCGGAGGTCGAGCTGAATAGCCACTTCCATCATGCCAGTTCAAAGAATCAAGAAAATCAATGCAAAAGCATTCAAACAAATTGATCATGAGAGCTTGTGGGGTTCTTGGACTTTGCTTTCTTCATCTACAACCTTTTGTTGGTTCAGGTACAAAGAACCAAGAAATAGCCTTCATCACCATCCTTGAGGAATTCAATTCTTAAGACATCATCTCATCAACGTCTCAAAGCAACATATGAATTCCCAACAGCCAATTTGATCGGTGAAGAAGGAAGTTCTGGACAAGTGTGTAAAGCTTCCAAGTGAAACTTCAACACTAGGAAGCTTCCAAGTGCTTTACTGCAAAGTGTGAATCCTTGAGAAACATCAGGCATCACAATCTTTCCAAGATCATGTCTGCTTGCTCCAGTGTCGATTTTCAAGATAATCCTTTGAAAATTCACTAAAAAGGTGGTTACACTCATTTCCTCAAGCTAATGGTGACCATGGTGAGCAACCAAGAGCTAGAGGCTTAAAATTTCTTCAAAGATTGAACATTGCACTAGATGCTTCAGCAATTGAATATCTCCATCACCACTGCCACAACCCTACAGTCTATTGTGATCTGTTACTGAGCAATGTCCTTCTTGAAAATAACATGGTTGCCCATGTTGTTGGTTTCGGGTTAGCCACGTTTTTTCCAAAAGCTACGGACATGTGCACTGCAGATCAAACCAGCTCCCACTGGCTTAAAAGGAAATATTGGTATGCAGCACCAGGTAAATTTTTAATTTACAGTATGAGCAAGTTTCTCTCTCAAATAGTTGGTGAATATAAATTCTAGTTTTCTATGAAGTCATGCATATTTCATATTGACAGAACCACCTAAAATATTTGTTTTCTGTTTCCTTACTTATTTGCTTGTTTCATTTCACTCGCAGAAAACATGCTAATTCACTGAAAAAACTACTGGTGTAAAATATGGTGCATTACAAGGCATACGAATAAAATTGAATTAATATCTGAAACAAGCAAATAAGTAAGGAACCACAAGAGTGATGTACTCATTCTAAAAATATTCACAAGGAAGCGACCTATTGATGATATGTTTAAAGACAGTTTAACTCTCCATGATTTTACAAAGAGGGCATGGCCAGATCAAGTGACTAAAACTGTGGATCCATTGTGGCTGCATGAATCTAATTTTGGAAAATGATTTATCTACCAGAAGAAATGCTATGCAAATTCCAGATGAATTCCTTGCTTGTTCTGTTGAATCACCAGGACACAGAATTGATATTATCTACACAACCAAGGAATTGCATTTTAAAGACTGAAGTTCATGAAGCAAAGTACTTATAAACACAGGCATAGAGTTCAGCTTAGCAGGTACTGTCAGTAATTAGTTTTAAGCTGGTTACGCTATAATATTCACTCTTCAGCAAATCATTGCGGCAACACTTGCAGTGGGATCCAATAAACTAGTAGGGAAAATACCACTGGGGATTACAAATCTCGTAAACCTAAATATAATTGGCCTCGAGTTGAGCTAATTAACAGGCACTATTCCTGCCACTATATGTAACCTTAAGAATTTACAACAATTGACCTTAGGTGGAAACAATTTCTTCGGAAGAATTCCCATTTCTATTGGAAATTTGTCATTACTAAGCTTACTGGATTTTGAAAACGAATTCTTTAGGAGGCAACGTACCTCCTGAATTAGGAAAATGTCAGAAGTTGATATGGTTAAGCTTTAAGTTCAAATAGGTTAGCCATTAACCTGTACAAACAAATTTTACCATAATCACTCTTTCCCTCAAACTGTCCATTGATGACAACCCGCTAACAGGTCCCTTACCTCTACAGATAGGCAATTTAAAGAACCTTACTGAATTGCATATTGAAAGAAACCAGTTTCCAGAAAAGATTCTTGTTATGCTTGGGGTATATACAAGCTTGGAAGTTCTTATAGCAGATGGAAGTTCTTTCTAGGGAAGTATTGCATCCTCTTCGAGTTCTTTGAGAAGCTTTAAATTGCTAGATCTTATTCCAAAACAATTTGTCAAGTCAAATTCCAATATATTTTGAGAATATGTCCTCCTCGGACTACTTGAATCTGTCATTTAACTTTGAAGGGGAAGTACCACAAAGAGGGATTTTTCACAATTCAACAGCAGTATAACTGTAGGAAAATGAGAAGCTCTTTGGAGGTCCAACAGAATTGCATCTGCAATCATTCCTCACTAAAGAATTCAAGAAACCAAAAGCCAGTTGTTCACTCAAATTGATCCTGGTAGCCTGTGGGATTCTTGGATCTGTTTCATTTGTTTCTTCCATAATGTTTTTTTTTTAAATAACCTTTTAAAAAGACGGGTGCAACACGAAAACTTTCCAGGTCACCCAGTTTCTTCCATAATGTTTTGTCGGTTTAAATGTAGACATGCCAAAAAAGAGCCACCAGCAGAATCCTCCTTGGGAAATTCATTTCCAACCACATATTGTCAATTCCTCAAGGCAATAAATGGGTTCTTGTCAGCTAATTTAAAATGGAGAAAGAAGCTTTGGATGTGTGTATAATGGAAACCTCAACCAGAAGCGAGACAAAGAAATCACAGCAGTGAAGGTGTTGATTCTTGAACAGAAGAGCTTCCAGGAGCTTCATTACAGAGAGTGGCACCATAATCTTGTCAAGCTTACTACTGCTTGCTCCAGTGTTGATTTCCAAAGCAACCTTTTCAAAGCTTTTGTTCATGAGTTTGTACCAAGGGAAACTTGGACAAGTTGTTGCACATTTCCCAGAACAAAATGGGGAATCTAGAGAACCAAGGAGCTTGGACTTTCTTCAAATAAACATCACTATCTATGTGGCTTCTGCCCTCAATTATCTCAGCACCATTGCCATGAGCCTATCATCCACTGTGATCTGAAACCTAGCTATATCCTTCTTGCTGATGACACGGTTGCAGATGTAGGATATTTTTTGGATTGGCTAGGATTCTCCCAAAAGCTACTGATAATTTTCATGTAAATCAGATGAGCGCTGTAGGTTTAAAGGCAACAATTGGTTATGCTGCAGCAGGTAAATCTTTCAAACTTTCACCCTTTCTCCTTAAGTTAAGCTTCTTCATCTTTAATTGCCAATCTTTCAAACTTTCACCATTTCTCCTTAAGTTAAGCTTCTTCATCTTTAATTGCCAAAACATAGTCTGCCAAATTGATGTCAGCATTTTACTTTTCCTCAATATAGATACTGCTCAAAACAACAATAAACAGATAAGAGCAACAAGAAAACTTAAACTATATGCAAGTTATTGTTTAATTCATATATCAAATAATGTGGATGATGACCTATATACATACTAATACCTTCAAGTTGTGATTTGACATTGCAGGGTATGGCACAGGGAGTGAGGTGACCATGTCCAGTAAAGGATATTGCTACAGGATACTCTTGTTGGAAATGGTCACAAGGAAGAGACCAACTGATAACACTTTCAAAGATGATTCCACATTTCATGCTTACACAGAGTTGGCATTGCCCGAACAAGAGACTCAAATTGTAGATCCACTGCTTTTACATGGTTCCATAGCTTCTATCAGCACAAGTTTTAGAGAAGCATGCATGAACATAAATAAAATGGAAGAGTGCTCGATTTTGGTCTTGAGAATTGGCCTTGCTTGCTCAATTGAATCACCTAAAGACCAAATTGACATCAGCTATGCAACCAATCAATTGATCAGGAATAACTTTTTCAGGACTCAAGTTCATGAAGCAAGATAGAAATTCCTGCCATGAGTTGGCTAGGGGTCCAAGATACACATTGGTGCAAGAAAAACCTCTATTTGTGTAGGGCCCGGAAAGGGGCCGAAAAAAAAAAAAAAAAAAAAAAG